CAGACCCCGGTGCCTGACATCCCTCCTCATCCTGCTACACTTTGCTCCATGCCTGGGGGCCCAATTATCCACATTTTTAATATTCTTTTGTTCCTTATAAACAGCTAAGCCATACTCTTTCCTTTTAAAAAAAAAAAAGCTATCTGCATGGTGGCAAAGATTAAATCTTGTGTGCATATCTGAGTCTCTGAAGAAATTTTGTTCATTTTCTTGAATGCATCCAAACCATTGCTTTATTCCACTGTTAGTTTAATCCAATGGTTCTCAAACTATAGTTCCAAGACCAGCAGCATTTAAGTCACCTGAGAACTTGGTAGCAATGCAAATTCTTCACCTTAACCGGGGATTTACTGAATTAGCAATCTAGGTCTTAACAAGAAGCCCTTCAAGTGATTCTAATGCCCACTTCCCATTTTGAGAACCAGCTTGAATTGCTAATGATTGCAATCAGCAACATGTGTTTACTATTTACTGCAAAGAGAGGCTGGAAGTAGCCACAGACCTTAAATGGCACTTCCCAGACCTTGGAGAAATCAGAATGCAACCTGCTCTGAAGCCAAAACAAATTAAGAATACGTAGACCATAGACAAGATTCTCCATTTGTAGACTGCACACTTCCTATGAAAGTTTGTTATATATGATGAGTCTGCTAGGATTTTTCCAGTTGCAAGGAACAGAAACTCAAGACTTCTTAAGCAAAAACGGAAGACCTATTTTTTGTCAGATGAGCTCATTGGTCTACGATCTTCAGCCCCTTTTCGCTTAAATCCTGTGATTATACATCAAAGCATCAATAATTAATACTTTAAAATCACTGTATTTCTGGATGAAATAAAAATCTTTTTTAAAATCCAGGTATTTTGAAACTGAGAAACTGAAATTCATCTTGAATATACACAATTTAATAAACTAAAAATAGGGACCTAAAGAAGTTTTAAGAAAAAAATTTTTGACACGACAATCTTTACCCAGCCTGGTTTTCAAAAACCAACAAAAAAACTATGCTCCATTTGCAAAGTAATTTGTCTTCTCCAAGTATATTTCAGGCCAGAGAATAAGAGATGTAACAGACACTCAGAGGGGGAGAAAATGCTTTTTCCCTTGCATATGTTAACGGCATTTGGGACGGGAAGCGTTCTTTACAACAAAGATTGTGGCGCCATCTTGAGTTCCTGAGAAAAATAAGTAACTTGACTGAAATGTTCAGACTGGATTATAAAAGAACTAAAGGAATTGTAAATAAAATCCAAAATACCTGTAAGTGATTAATGAAGGAACATGAAAGGGAAGCCTAAATAAATGAAACCAGAGAATATCTCCAGATTTCTGCAACTCTACCTGTGATGGTCCCTCTAGTCCATAACCAGAGCTCCTATCCCAGATCCTGCTACTTCAAGTGTGGTCTGGGACAACAGTTTTAGCGCCACTTGAAAGCTAGTTAGAAATGGAGATTCTTGGGCCCAATCCCAAATCCCAGACCTAATGAATCATAATCTGCATTTTCTAGGTAGTTTGTATGCACGCTGAAGTCTGAGAAGCTGCTCTCTATGCCTTCCTTCACCAAGAGGGTAGGGGAGGTAGGATAGAAAAAAGAGACAGACACCTCATCAATGGATAGAACTGCACAGTCTTAATAAGATGCCATGCATTAAACTTAAACATCAGCAAGTTATGAATCCAAGCCATAAGAAAAGTCAGTCATGATCATATTGAAAATATTACACATTTTTCAAAGACAATAATTTGAGGACTTCTGTTTTAATCCACAGCTTCCTAAACCCCAAAAGCTTTCCTGCCTTAATTCCATTGATCATGCCCCAGCAACTCAGCCTTTAAAACTGTAGTGTTTCCTGGATCTCACCAGGGAGCTTTCCTCTCCTGGATTCCCACTGCATTCTTCCCACTTCCTTACTATGCTCTAACTCTTAATATTGTACAAAATGGTTGTCCACCCATTGTGGCCCCTTTTCTTGTCATTTCATTGGCAATAACCATGCTTATGCCTTTGAATTCACTCATTGGTTCAGTAATTTATTCTAATACTAAGCACCCACTACATGCCAAACACTATAGATTTGATTAAAATATAAAAGATATAATTCCAGCTTATGTATTTATAGAGTGAAATGTCAAACAATTACAATAGAACATAAATGTTATGATGGGAAAGTAGGGTGTTCTGGGGAACTTACATAGAGCTACCTAACTTGGATCTGGAAAGGTTACCTGCAATCTCATCTGAAGGGCACAGAGTTAATCAGGCAAGGTGGGGGAAGTACAAAGTGTTTCAGGGAGAGGGCATGCCAGCATCATTAAAACATTATCTTGGTCATAGATAATGCCAAAAATAAATGTGTGTTTGACAAAGTTTGGAGTTGTGTATTGCCTCGTGCATTCCAGTCAGTCACTTGGCAAACTGACTGGCTAATTAGAGTTGCACTAATTATCTTTTTAAAAAAGAGAGATAGCTTTCAAAGTATTGGCTGTAGCTATTTTTATTTAGAATAACTGTTACTTTTGAAAACCATTTTCAGATCCAGATCCCAGAGCTTGCTATTCCACTCTAAGAAAGAGCAAAAGGAGCTTTACCTGAGTTAACAGAAATTTCAAAGAAATTAAACATCATGGAATTAAACTTGTACGCTGAACCCTCTGTTAAGTCAGGGATGGTCTGTAAATTCCACAATTTTTAAATGATCACTCTAAAAATTGTGGATGTCTACTTTCCCTTATTCCTGTCAATTTCTGTGTTTGAGCCCATGCTATTAGGTACATACAAATGAAGAATTGTTATATTACTGACTGACCTTTATGATGTAATGCCCCTATTTCCAGAAATGCTCACTGACCTAAAGTCTAATTTTTCTGATATTAGAATATTTATCTAATAAAAGATTCATATCCAGAACATACCATAACTGAAATAATAGCACATTGTTTAAAACTGGGCCCAGAGACTAAATAGGCACCTGAAGAAAGAGGACATCTAGATAGCCAGTAAACATGAAATGAGTTTAACCTCATTAATCATCAGGGAAATGCAAATGAAACCACAATGATGGCTGAAGATAAAGTAAGTAAAAATAAAAATTAAAAACACTGGGAATACCAAGTACTGGCAAGGACTAAGGAGGCTAGAATTCTTACACACTTGTGGTGGCCGTGTAAAAACTGAACAACTTTGGCAGTGCCAAAGCTGAACACATTCCATTCCAGAAATGCACACACATGTGCACCCAAAGACATGTATAAGAGTATTTCGAGGAAGTATTCATAACAGCTCCAAACAGAAAACAACCCAATACCCATCAATGGGAAGAGGAATAAATAGTCTATTCATATACAGATGTTCTGGTCTTACAATGGAACTGCATCACAATAAACTCACAGTAAGTAAAACATACCTTAAATTAAAAATGCATTTAACATCCAGATAAACCCATCATAAAGCTGAAAACTTATAAGCTGAACTCTGTTAAGTCGGGAATGGTTTGTAATTAACCATTATACACAGCAATAAAAGTGAAGGAATTATTGTCAAACTTACCATGGATCAATCAGCCTCACAATACTGAGGGAAAGAAGCCATACACAAAAGGGTATCTAATAAAGTCCAAAAGCAGGCAAAACCAGTTTATGTGACAGAAGTCAGGAGCCACTAGATGGAAGAGAACAAGAAGGAGCCTTTAGTGCTGTAACAATGTTCTATTTCATCTGTTGTTTGGGTGTGGTTATGAGTGTGTATGCTTTCTTAAAAATTCACTGAGCTTAAATTTATCAATGTTTTTGTACCTATACTGCAACAAAATGTTTACAAATTTAAAAAAGAATTTAGCTACATGAGGGGATATGGCAGAAACAAAGGTGGTAGGGAATGTCTAAAATTGATAAATCGAGAAATAACTATGAAGGCACATTGTTTAAAAAAATGAGATGCAATTACACCAACAAGAAGAGTTAAAAATGGTTGCTCTTAAGGTTTGGAGGGGACTGTTTTTCAGTTTTTTTGGTACTTTCTTAAAGTGACATGCATATGTTATGTATATAGAAATGGTTAGAATATTCCAATTCTTCACAAAGGAAAGATCACTAATGTAGGTTTAAAAAAGTAGACAGCTTCCTGCAGCTAACAATGCCAAAGTCCATCTGTTAGAAGAAAATTCATTCTGCTTCTCAGCACAAATTATGATTTTAAACATCAAGTTTAAAAGTTAAAACTTTACATAAGGAACTGACAGATGCTATCATGTCACCGGTTTTAAGCCAAATGTTAATCATTGAGAAAGGGGGAAAGAGACCAATGCTAGATATATTTTATTCTACTAATGCATCACAAACTACCATGGCTGTTTCATACTTATTTTCTCATTATATAAAAGTAAAAACTTGTTATGAGAGTACAGTGATATGTCTTGGTATGCAGAGTGGTGCTCATGGATGAAAGTTCTTATTCTCTGTTTTATTCTTCAGATTAAACTACCAATTCCTAGTGCAGTTTGTGAAGATGTTCATAGGAATTATATAGAAAAAGGTGTTCCAAGGTCAATCATGTTTTGCAATCACTGGATTTCTGTATTGTGGGTCTTCTAAGAACCACCATATGTTAATGTGATTCTCCAGAAAGATGTTCCTCTGCACCTCAAATGGTGAGGCACTATAGTTATTACATAAAAAAGAAAAAAAAAATTAAGAAAAATTAAGAAATTAAGAAAAAAAGCCCAAATTGTTGTTTTTTTTAATGGCAAGAATCCATAACAAAAGCAATTATGAGGCAGCTAGACTACTTCTACTAGTAGGTTTAGAGTAACCCAGAAATTTGAAAACTTAAAATTTCCCCATGCCTTAAAATCTTTTCCAAGACTAATAGCATCTTTTAAGGTCTCCTGGCTGTTTGGTGTCATTTGGCAGGTACACAGATTTTACTGAACTTCTCTAAAAGAGAAATTCATTCAATTAAAAACCACATTTGACAAAACTTTAAAATAAAGAGACACTGTGCTAAAAGCATTTTCTGAATTTATTTTTGTGGTTTTTCAAGTCAACATTAAACTATGTATGTTTTTAAGTCAAGGCTGAATTATAAATGAAGTCTTCAGTATTTAGATACCAGAATAAAAAAGAACAAGCAAAGGTTGTATAGGATATCTGAGTTTGTTTTTTTTAATCTGAACAGAAAATAAGTAAGTATACAAGTTCGCTAAACAGAAGTGGTATAAATTGAATTTTATGTATTATGGAATTCAGTACATCACATTTACTTCGGTAGTCAGTGATTGTTATGGTTAATTCTGCAAAAAACAAAACCAGTTATGCAGAAACAAGAATATAAAATGCCCCTTTCTGAACCCCAGGTTTGATAAACTGATTTCATATCTAGCTTACTGATTATATTCCGTTTCACTTCTCCCTGTGCAAATAATACATCTAGTCATTTACTGATGGTTTGATGAGCTGAAATCACCTTCTCTTAGGATAGCTCAACGTAACAACCAAATATAAAAAAGTTATTCAAGATCAAGGAGATAAAACAGTGCCTCAGAAACATGATTCACCCATGTATACATAATTTTAGAACATATTTTTAAACATAAAATCACAGTCAAAGACAGTGATAGCATTGCATACTCAGTGCATTACTTCATGTAGTGCATTCCTATGGCTCATCTGGAGTTTAATACCAAATAACTACCACACTTCTAATGGGCTTCTAACACACAAATTTGTCTAATTCTTCAAAAAATCTAAAACTCTCATAAAGACCTTGAGCCTGGCATGTAAGGACTTTGTGTTTTAATATCCCAAACATTGGGAAGATTAGGTGTGACACATGGTAACCCCTCCTTGTAAGCAAGACTGCACATACACTTTTGTTACATCACCACAAAGAACCCTCAAACAACTCAATACCATAGCCTTAGAGGGGTACATTTATCATTTAGTTAAGGAAAATTGAAATGCACTCCAAGACACACACAAGGAATGAGTATTACTGTGGCAGCTAAAGAAATCTGCCACTGTGTAATAAATGCGGTTATGCAATGATGTTGTACATTTAAATAATACATTATGACTTGTTTCCTGCTACCATGGGGCACAGGAAAATGAAACTCAAGACTATCTTGCTAGAACAGGACAAATGATGACCCAGTTTTAAACAGGGTTCTTCATTGAAGGAAAAGATAGAGCCATAAAAGTCCAATTAGCTGACTTCAAATGGTTTACATCCCAGGATGAATCAGGTTACAGTGATTGAAGCCCAATTTAATTTAGGCAGGTTTTTAACCACAAGAATAAGGACATTCTTAGTACATATTAATAATTAAACCAACATATACACAATTAGCAATATCCTATATAATATTAAATGTTTTAACAACTTGTTCTCCATTATTCTATATCTAATTTGTTGCTTTGTTTTTTTTTTTTAAAAAAAAACCAAGCTCAACTTTATTTTACAATGTACTTTGCATTTCTAAGTGTATTCCGTAATTATTTCATTGAAGCAAGTATAGTTCTCCAGATTTCTCTAAGAGCCAAACTCAACTGTATCTTCTGTTATCTGTTTGAATTCATAGTTGCCTCTGCCATCCATATGCAGGTAGTACTAGGAGAAAGACGGGGGGAAAAAGTCAGTAACTAAGAGTGGATATAGTACTGTCCTTTATAAAAATAAAATACAGACTTCATTATTTTAAGGGAGCTAAATCTATAAGCATCCCACGAATTAGAATGCTTCCGTAACTCCATGACCAAGGATCTCAGCTACCAGTGGGTTAAATTGTGTTAAATGCAAGACTGTTCCATAGGTTAGTCTTTATTGCTTCCTGTCGCCTGATTACCTAATCAGCTTGGAATCTCTAACTTAAGGCTTTTTATTTGTTTTTAATTTATAGAGGAGAAAAAGAGCTATAAAAAGTGCTCGTATATCCTAACATCTGAAGTTGCAACAGCAGTTACAAAGCCTTCTAGTTTTATTTAGGGGCTTATTTTCAGAAAGCTTTCTGAGTTTCCATTTTCTGCATTACTATTTCTTAGCTATCCTGGCCTCTCACATTCTAGTTGTGTTCCTCTCCTTCACATGATCACTGGCCTGATGAGTATTTTGTTACTTGTCTATACCTTCAAAAGAAGAGGAAGGGTGAAACTCAAATACTCTCAATTCCTCTCAATGTTCTATGGCTATAATACTTAAGAACTTCTGAGAAAACACAAAGGCTTGGTTATATTTTAAATGGCTTTGATTTCTAGTTATTCAATTTCCTGTTCATGAAAAATTGACAAATTATAATATGCCATAAAATAATAAAATCTATCTTTAAAAGTCACATAGTTATATAGCATTTCGTTGAATTTTATTAAGTACTTTCATACAGGCTACCTCTCTAATTTTCATGGTAATCTAAGAGATAGGCAGGTAAGGATCAATAACTTCATTATACAAAGGAAGCAACTGAGGCTAGAAACACTGGTGCCTGAACCCAGGCTCCCTGACTTCAAATCCTATGCTCTTCTTTTTATCACTCGTAGGCTATCATCTACATCCTAAAGTCCTGAAAGTAAAGACTGTAATTAATTTACATCTGTCATGACACAGCTCAGTATCTGGCAAAAAAAGTGCTTAATCAGGTACGTATTTTGCAGGACAAGATACGCTTACCATTGTTCTAACTTTTCTGAACCCCTTGCTTTTACCTAAAATTTCTATATCATTTAAGAAGGGAAAAAAGGAAAAAAGAAAGGAAAGAAGAAAGGAAGGAAGGAAGGAAGGGAGGGAGGGAGGGAGGAGGAAAAAAAAATAAAGAGAATTAAACAGGGTTTGCTTTCAGGTTTTGAGCATTTTACATTAAGAGTTGAAAAGAAGTCCCATAGTGAGAATGGCACTGCTGAAGCACCAGAATAAATAATGCATCCGTACCAATGTAAGCCTCACTAGAATATCTTTGTAAATTATAGTTACTACCTCATGAATCCTACCTACTACAGTGCATTGATAAGCATAGCTGACATTATTCAATCTTCCCCCTTATAATCCTGACCTCTATTAAAAATGTCCCTAATTTTTTTGCCATGTTATTCTTCTTAAGACTTTTTCTCCTCTGTTACTACTGGTTAAGAAAAAGTTTACTTCACCATATTTGTGATAAGACTATGCAAATTTTAGTAAGTTACTATTAACAGACAACAGTCACTTATAAAAATAGAGAAAAATTGTTATGCTATTGTTTTCAAAACTGACAACTATAATATTTAAGAAAATCTTTTTTTATAAAACCACTTTTTCTCCTTAAGACATTATGTTTAAGGGAATATAAACCATACAATCTAAAACCATATTCACCTGAATTCATATTTTAAAGAAAATAAAGTTTCACTGTACCATTCTATGAAAGAAATACAAACCTCATGATGTTTCCAAAGAGATTTCCTATGTGACACAGTGAAGAGGGTGATGCCGACCTAATACAAAGAAAATGATTTAAGTTTGTATCAGTAACTGAGTCACAAATTAAACTAGTCCATGTACTTCAAGCTGTTAAGAGGACTGTCTTTGGTGATTAAAGTTAAAAAGCAAAGTCCATGAGGAAAAAATTCACAACTGATGGCAAATGTTTACAGCAACGGAAAGTACTGGCCATCAACCACATAATAAAAACTACCAGGTACTGGCATTAAGTATATTATTTCGTTTTGGGCAAAAAGCATATCTCCTAGCATGTTTCCTATTTTTTTGTGAAAAACATATGAGAGGAATATAAGAAGGATAAAAACAGCCAAAGGTCAAAATCAGGAAAAATTAAATCAGTATAGCATTGCTGACAGCCAACTTGCTTCTCAAATACAGGGTCATAATCATCTACTGTAAACTATTGTTATGGAATGTGTCTTGGAATTCAGCTTTTGAAAATGTATTATTTAACACCTCCAGAGGGTTCTGAGGCAGAATTTTGTAATTAAACACATGTTTCTGTAGCAACACATATGGACACTGAAATCAAGTGAGACAAATAGAGTTTAAATATCTTTTGTTAGCTTAGACAAGGTTTTACCCAGTGAGCTTGCTACAAAATTATGAAAAATGTTTTGAATTTAAGTATTTTCTGGATTTCAGATTGTGAATATGTATTTATAAATATGTACTTCAGACTTAAGAAAAAAACATTACTAATAACAGCTGTAGTTGCTCTGGATCAGTGGTTCTCAACCAAGGTGGGGAGGACAGTGATATTTGTCCCTCAGGGGGACATTTGGCAATGACTGGAGGTATTTTTATTGTCACAACTGAAAGCACCACTGGCATCTAAGGGTAGAGGCCAGGGATGCTGCTAAGCATTCTCCAGTGCACAGAACCCCCAGCGCTGCCCAACTAGGAATTACCAGTCAAAAGATCAAAAGTGCCAAGACCAAGAAACCCCACTTTGGGTCACTGTTCCTCCACGTCCATCACTTGAGGCTGGCAAATGCAAGTCTAGGGCATCCGGGAAATTTCCACTATGGTTTCTTCATTTTATTTTCATTTTGATAATTTTTAAAAGATCATTGTAAGTATATTCTGGATCATTTTTACCAAGAGATTTAAGTGCCTAACTTTGTATTTTTACACCTCTGATTGCCAAGGTGATATAACATAAAACTTCTAATGTGTAATAAATTTGGCTGCACTGTGAAAGGTTCTCAAATTGGTTAGGAATTGCATAATAAAATAAGCATATTATCAGTATTAATAAAACATGTATTTCAAACATACCACACTTTTCTGATTTTTCAAAGCTCATTTCAGATATTATTTCTCTGCTCATGATTCCACAATAATTGGATCAGATATCTACTTAATGCACACATTCTTTATATGAGAATATAAAGAATATATAAATTATATAAATCAAAATACAAAAGCAAATGCAAAATAATAAAATTTGAACCTCTGATTCTATTTTCCATAATTAAATCCCAAACCACTGGTTTAGTTCCATAGGTCTCTTTAATGCTGAAAATTTGAAATTGTATCTAAGTTTTTTCTGTATTTAATTTGTAAATTTAAATTAGTTTTGTAGCTGTAAAAGGGCTCTAGGCTTAAGCAGTTAACGCCTCATTTCATGTTTACATGTTTAAGTACTATTACAGTAATTTAAATTATCTATGAGGCCCCATATGACTTTTCTTCTTTTAAATTGAACTAATGTTTTATAGAACTTATACACTCCTATATGAGTACTTCAAGTCTATAGTTAGAACATATGAGGAAATCACAGGGTCGAAATCACCAGTGAAGAGCCGCTATGTCATTGAATCAACAGCATACTACATGGTTTTATGTACATGAGAATACCATAAACATCTCTAAGGCCTATAAATTTGAAAACCAAAATGAACAAACATATAAATATTATATATTACCAAGACAAATTCAAGAATAGAAACTAAATCATGAACAAGATAAAATCAGTAGTTAAAAATCTTTCTACAAAGAATAGCAAATTTGTTCTTTTATCATCACACCAGTGCTTCTCAAACTTTAACGTGCCTTTGAATCATCTCAGGATTTTGTTAAAATGCAGATTCTGGTTTAGCAGGGCTTGAAATTCTGCATTTCTAACAAACCCCCAGGTGATACTGCTGCTGCTGAACATGACCACACTTTGAAGAATAGGGATTCATACTATATATACTCAATATGACCTTTTTTATTTATTGAGAACCCCTAAAGAATATATATAAAATGTTAAAAATTGGCCGGTCACAGTGGCTCACGCCTGTAATCCCAGCACTTTGGGAAGCTGAGGCAGGCGGATCACGAGGTCAGGAATTTGAGACTAGCGTGACCAGCATGGTGAAACCCCATCTCTACTAAAAATACAAAAATTAGCTGGGTATGGTGGTGTGCGACTGTAATCCCAGCTACTCAGGAGACTGAGGCAGGAGAATCACTTGAACCCAAGAGGCGGAGGTTGCAGTGAGCAGAGATTGTGCCATTGCACTCTAGCCTGGGCGACAGAGTGAGACTTTGTCTCAAAAAAAAAAAAAAAAAGTTAAAAAATCTTCATCTACCTCATTTACTTATACAGAAACTATAAAATAGCTAGGATATACTATACTTGTTCCAAAATTTAACCATGGTATAGATGTTGGTAACAATTTCTCAAAGAAAGAAAACTGATACTATTGAATAATTAAAGAATGAAACCATTAAAGACAGCCTCAGACTTGGCTACTAAAAGCAGCTTTGGTAAAATATTGCTCAGGCTAGAAAATAAAACTGATAAATTAAAAATTGCCAAATAAATATCATTGAGTTTTACTCATTAAAAAACCTGATGATTAGGTAAAGTTAATGGAATAAATTAAGAAAAGATCAGTTTATTAACTCTAAGTAATGAGGTAATGGGCCAGATGTGATGGATATTGTTTTATATCTCATTTATATAAAATAATATATTTAAATCTATTTCTATATATAAAGAGACTCATATACAGGATGTATTATTTATAATTCTTTCTCTTTTACTCATGTTTTAAATCTTTATTAAAACAAGAAATCGTGGTGTGGTGGCTCACGCCTGTAATCCTAGCACTTTGGGAGGCTGAGGCAGGCAGATTGCCTGAGGTCAGGAGTTCAAGACCAGCCTGGCCAACATGGTGAAACCCTGTCTCTACTAAAAATACAAAAATTAGCTGGGCATGGTGGCAGGCACCTGTAGTCCTAGCTACTCAGGAGGCTGAGGCAGGAGAATCATTTGAAACCAGGAGGAAGAGGTTGCAGTGAGCTGAGATCACACCACTGCACTCCAGGTTGGATGACAAGAGCGAGACTTCAAAAAAAACCAAAAAACAAAAAACAAGAAATCTTCTGGTAGAAATTTTGTTACTTAGTGACTTGGAATCTTCTCTTTGGAGAGATGTGGACACACGATACACTAGGAAGGAAGCCAGGGCTCCTCAAACTGAGCAGCTGCACACTTACCTTTCGACAATGACTGTAAATGTAGCCTTCCACGTCAACACTAACTGCACTTGTGCATTCATCCAAAATGGCAAACTGGGGTTTATGATAAAATAATCTTGCCATCTGAAGGATAAAAAAAATATTTTGTGTAAAACACAGGCAGAACTAAAATTAATAAGCCAAACAAATTTATGTTAAATATGCATTTGCAGTCTTGTAAAGCAAAAGTATAAAAATTATTCTAAACTCAAAAAATCTACTTCCCAGAAACAGAAACAATATAAACATCATTGTTTTCACTGTCATCCTGAACAAAGAGAATAATGTACTTCATGGGAAATATTAAGTGCTCAGAGTAAAACAAAAAGCTTAAGACTGATGAGAGAGGGAGTTTCAAACTAGTTTAAAGAAAGCTCACTAAACAAATAAGATTCGAGAGGACATATTTTAACCAAATCTCAGAATTGAGACTAGATGACTTCAATGCAAAAAGGTCTCTATTTAAAATACTTTGTTGCTTAAGTGTTGGTACCAATTAATATTCCCACCAATAATTTTTTATTGTACCTGTTTTATATCCCCATTGTCAGTTCTGGGTATGCTCAATTTTTTTTTAGGCCAATGCTAATTTTATAAGTGAAAATTAACACCAAAATTATAGCTTACATTTCTTAACTATCAGGAATAATGAACATTTTCCCATATTTATGCTCCTGTGTATTTTATTTTCTGGGGATTGTTTATGCTGATCTTTTGTGTAACAGATATTCCAGTTATTGGCATCTGCCCCCTGACAAGATCTTCCTGTTTAAGACCAATGGGCACTTTTCTGTCCTTAATTTGTCTTCTCTGCAACACTCTACTCAGAAGACCACTCCATCCTTTTGAGAAAGTGACGGTGAAACCGTGCACCTAAGTTTCCTCCCACTTCTGAGGATCCTTTCTCAGTTTCTAGCACTTTCTTTTCCACTTGACCATTAAATACAGGAGCTCCTCAGGGTTAATTTCTAGGCCACCTTCTCTTTTTCCTGTATTCTATCTCTCAGTGATCTCATCCAATCTTAATTTCAAATACCATTTACATTTTATAAACTTGCAATATGCATCTCTCACTCATATTTTTCTAATTTCCAGATATATAAAAATTTTCTGCCAGGTGTGATGGATCATGCCTGTAATTCCAGCACTTTGGGAGGCCAAGACCGGAAGAATGCCTGAGATCAGGAGTTCTAGACCAGTCTGACCAACAGGGAGAAACCCCGTCTCTACCAAAAATATGAATTAGCTGGGCGTGGTGGCGCATGCCTGTAATTCCAGCTACTGAGGAGGCTGAGGCAGAAGAATGGCTTGAACCCGGGAGGTGGAGGTTGCGGTGAGCTGAGATTGCACCACTGCATGCCAGCCTGTGCAATAAGAGTGAAGTCAGTTTCAAAAAAAAAAAAAAAAAAAAA